CATAAACAGTCACATCTAATTACCTGTACTAAGACTTCCCATCACAACCTCTCTGTATTTCTAAGCCAACAACACACAACATCTGTTCTTATTCATCTTACACAATTAACTATAATCATGCATTTCTCGCGAGTCTCAATTAAATGCAATAAATACTACATAACAAAAATCCTGAACAACTACTATTATTAGTGTTGTGAATCATGATTAGAAGCATGAATAACTACTAAGATTTAGTACAAAATTAAACTACTATTAGCATGGATTATACACATGAAATGCCACAGTCCGCAACCATCAAAAAATACAATCATAATTAATTCCAAAAATAATCTTTTTTAAAAAAAATAAAATCTTTTAAAATTATTTCTTAATAATTCAAAATAATCATTATTCCAAAATAACTCTTTTAATTTATTTATTACTATAATTAATTCAAAATAATCCTTAGAAATATTCTTTCTTCCAAAAACTTCTCATAATGAATCATAACCTCATTGTCAAAATATCTTTTCATCACATACGGCTCAAAATACATATCGTACTCATCTCTTCACGAATATAGCAGTAATTAATATCATTCATTAACAACCCACGCAGAATATCGCAGTCTAATCTATGCATATTAATAATAACAGAAATAATTATTAAAAGACAAGCAACAGATCTAAAATCTTAATGAATAAAAACCAACTTGAGGAGAGGTATCTTGCCTAGGGTTTTTGTCGAATGTATCGACGCTAACGGTGCGGGGTTGCTGAACGACGGGATCTCGACACGAACGATGCGGGCAAAGGAGGTGGATGTGGCGGAGTTCGTCGTCGGCTCGAGCGCGCTCGACGTGGTGGTCGGTGGCTGGGTTGTGTGCAGAGGAGGAAGGAGGAGATGGCGTTGGGTTGGGCTTGAGGCTGGTCGACGGCGTTCGGGTGCTGGAGGTGGTGGTGAGAGAGGCCGAGCGGGGATCAGGCGGTGTGGGGCGGGGGTCTCAGGCGGCGTCGGAGTTTCGTCGGCTAGATCTGGAGCTTGGGCTTGACGGCGGTGAAGGCTGGAGGGGGTGATGGGGAGCTCGACGGGGATGGTTCAGGGAGTTAACGAGAGAGAGAGAGGAAGAAGAAGATGATAATGGGGCGGCGGTGTTTTTCTCATGAACAAGAGAGAGAAGAGATGTATAACTATATATATATATAATATTAGGGTTAGGGTTAGGGTTAAAAACAAAAATAATTAAAATAAATATTTACGGGTATTTAAAAATCAAACTAACTACAGAATAATTATTTATAATTAAAAACGTACATGTTATGCTATTACAATAATTGATACGAAATAGTCAAAATATACTCATATTATATAATTAAACGAGAATAATTAATAATAAAAATATTTTTACTTAAATTTAAAATCAAATAATTATGGGATAATTACGTACACAGTAAAACGTACTAGTTATACTAATACGATAGAAAATATGTAGCAATAGAAATAATACAATAAATTATACCAAAACACGTAATTAATAATATTATGTATTATATGAAATAATTTGTAATAATATTAATAATACAATATATTATTTAAAATATTATGTAATAGTACCGATAACACAATAAATTAATTCTAGAAATTTTTACCGAACAAAATAAATTTATAAATATCAAAATCATTTAAATAAATATATAATCAGATTTTTAAATCTTAGAAAATTGTAGAAAATCGAGAAAAATATAAATACTCTTTTAAAAATCATAATTAAATATTTTAAAATACCAGAAAATTATTTTAACTAGTATCAAAATTCACGATCATTACATCCTACCCCCCTTAAAACAAATTCCGTCCTCGGAATTAAAATAAGAACCCCAGGGACAGATATGGAATGATATCCATAAGCAGATGAGACAAGAAACAGGAAACAATGGAAAGTTACGAGACAAGAAATAGTGGAAAGTTCCGGAGTCAAAGAATGATAAGATAGGGACGAAAGGAAATCTATCAAGAAAATATGATAAGGGATCAAGGATAGTCTCACGGATGAAATATGATATGCATCGGAATTGTCTACCATATTCTTACTAGTGAGGACTCGGGACCGTGATCGGAAACGTGACCTGCATGGGCCACCAAAAAAACCTGTCACGCCCCGCTTCCCAAAATACCCGGGAATCGGAACGTGAACAAGCCCGCGACGTATTAGATTGAGAAGAAATATACACTATCTTTTTTTTTCTTTTCTTCTCAATCCAATACGCTAAGCGTCTAGAAATAAGTACAATGCGAAGTCACAGGTCCCCGATCACAGATAGCAAGAATATAAAGACAACCCAGAATAAAAATAGACATATCATAAATGAATATCATCCAAGACATAATATTCGGGTCAAACATGCCCTTATACAAATTTGAACAAATGAATACTAAAGAGATACAAAATACACTGATCAAATAGAAATGAAATGTAGTACAAAAGAAAACTGAGGACCAATAACTAAACTTTGGCTTCTTCTTCTGCTCCATCCGCTAGGCACTCCTGCTGAGAATCATCTGGCTCCTGGTGAACCTATTCTTCTCCTAAGTCTGACGTACACCAGAGAAAACAGGTGTACGTCAGGGTGCATGGCACCATGACCCGACCCCACAAAGAAAATAGAACGAATGGAAATCCAATGCGAAGAACGATACGATAACAAAAACAACAAAAAAACGTATAACTGAAATTCACAAATCAATATGAAAACACTACTAAATCATGATAACATAAAGCATCCAGAATCGATCAGGTAACGAGATCATGTAGCTAGCGATCAGTCTAATCATCCAATTAACAAGAGCATACAATAGATGGAATTAATACCTAAAAATCTACAACATGAGACATCTCTAATCGAGGATTGCTACAAGTGTGGAGTCCATTGTATGCCGTGATTTTGAATTGCCCACCTACTCTTGAACCCGAGCGTGAATTAAGCTTCCACGGACACCTCGCATTGCCGTCGTGGTGTCCACTATTATCTTCGACATCGTCATCTTTGCGATAGAAACAAACCACATTATAGCTTGTAGTATTATTTTTGGTTGGCCTGAACTTCACATTTTTTGCAATGGAATACGTGCGAATAGCATGGATCAATTTCTCCTTACTCTCGTAAAGATCTCCCTTGATGAATGAGAAGTCCTCGGCCTGTGTATCAACACCGCTATTAGTGCCAATAGGAACACTTTCCATCGCGGAGTTATCAATCCATTCATCTCCTTGAAGTTCATCGGGCGGCGGATCCTCTAAGCCGACATACTCATTATTAACATAAGCCCCGTCGATGTGTTGGTTTTCCCCGTCATCACGATCTATCAAGGTCATGCTATTAATTTGTAATCCCTCCTCTTCATCATTCTCGGATTCAACACTTGCATTATCTTCTTGAATTCCCGTGTTAGTATCGAAAGCATTCGAAGTGCCCACCAACGAAGGACCGCTCATGTATTGTGATTGTGTCCAACATTCATCTTGTTGAGGAGATAAAAAGCCTACAGAATCAACTTCAGGATCCTCCAACATGCGGGAATACATTCCTTCGTAGTTCAACGATTTGCCCAAATCTCTCTGATGTTTTTCAATGAACAATTCGACCGAACGCTTCTCGTCGTGTAAGACATGAATGAGACCCATATCGTAGTCACTTGATATTTGAATGCCACTTGTTCTGTTCCCCACAACAGGATAATTGCAAACCACACTGAGGTGATACTCACGTGAGTTAGTTAATGTAAGTTTGTGTAATTCATTAACCAACTCATCGAAAGTACACAATTTTGTTATGAACAACGGTCTCGTCGTGCCTCCTTCATAAACGGGCATATTATTTTCGAGGTAATTAATCTTCCCATCATAAGAACAGAGAATTACAATTCGATCATTCATCAGAGTGAAAAATTCAAGATCAATATTACACGAAAAGCCAAATAAATACACAAAATTATTTGATTTTTCTTCACAAAATTCGTAAATAATCCACAACATTATTGATAATTTCCCCTCTAATTTCACAAAATTATTGATAATTTCCCCACTAATTCCACAAAAATTCTTGATAATTTCCAAACTAATTCTTCACAAATTTCACAAAATTATTGATAATTTCCCCTCTATTTTTCACATTTTATTGATAATTTCCCCTCTAATTTTCACACTTTCTCACAAAATTCGTAAATAATTGTGAAATTTCCACACTAATTCCACAAAATTATTGATAATTTCCACACTAATTCTTCACAAATTTCACAAAATTATTGATAATTTCCCCTCTAATTTTCATATTTATTGATAATTTCCCCTCTAATTTTCACATTTCTTCACAAAATTCGTAAATAATTGTGAATTAAATTCTAAAATCTAGATTTTTATATGAAATCACAATCAAATAGTAAGAGTATACAAAAATTAGGGAGTATAAATTTTTTTAGAAAGATTTTACCTTTTTTTTCCTTGAGACTGAGATCTGACGGCGGACAGAATCTCCGGCGGCGGCGGTCGGAAGCTGGGCGGCGACGGTCGGGATCGAACTGGGCGGCGGTTCACGGGAGCTGGGGCGGCGGCGAATGAGAAAGAGGGAGTTAGGGTTCGTGTGAAATGGGGTCGGGATCTTGGCCAAATCTTCACGGGAGTTGAACTCCCGTGAAGATTTAACAACAAATTAAGCTTCACGGGAGTTCAACTCCCGTGAAGTTTAATTTCTCGATAAACTTCACGGGAGTTGAACTCCCGTGATGTTTCAGAAAAGTTTTTACAAAAACCGACCTGTTTTCAGCGCTGGGCTGAAAACAAGTCGGTTTTTTTAATTATTTTCAAAAGGGGTCGTTTTTTGCAAATAAATAGCTAAAGAGGGTGGTTTTGAAAATTTGTCCTTCCCTAAGAAAAAAAAAAAAGGAAAACATGCCTTCAATAAAAAAAATAAAAAAATGCCATACGTACAGACTTCTACGAAAAGCAAAACAAAGAACCCGAACAGGTGTGTGCTCATTTGCAAAAGGAGACGGAGTAAAAGGCAGGTCGGTGACCGAAAAACACACGCGCTCTCTCCCTCTCTCTCGTCTTCTTCCTCCTCCTCTGCCTCCCACTTCATCTCCCAAACCCTAACCCTAATCTCCCCCAATTCCAACCCAAAATCATGCGTCAAGGAAGCGATTACAGCTCCCAATACTACCCCTACCACCATCCAACCCCTCTCCCGAGCCCTAACCCTAATCCTCCCTCAAACCCCACCGAATTCGCCCCTTCCAATCTGATCCAGCCTCCCTTCGCTTCCGCCCCTCCTTATTCCCAGCATCCCCCATCGGAGTTCCCCTCCTCTACTTATTCCTCTTATCCCCAGAATCCCGATCCTGTCCCCAATCTCCCCCCTTCAGCTCCCTCTTACGCTCAACCCCAATTCCCCCAATCTCAGCCCTCTTTCAATCCTCAGGAACCGGCGCCAGCGCCTTACCCCCATCTTCAGCAGCCCTCACCAGCCCGCCTCAGGCTACGCCCCGCTGCCAAACCCTAACCCTAATCCACCGTCGTACCCTCCATATGAGAACCCTTATGGGAATCCTGCGAGGTTTGATCAGGGTAGTGGCTATCTCAATGATAGTTCTACCGCTAGGTACGGGTTTGTCCCTGAGACTGGTGGCGATGGGTTTGGGGATGGGGTTTATGCTTACAGTGGGGGGAAGGAGGAGCCTTATGGTGCTAGAGGGACCGGAGGGTTTAGTAGGTTGTCTTCTTCTTCGTCGGGTTCTGGGTTGAGGTTTGACGACTATGGGAGGTCTCTTGGATCCGGGCCCACGTCTGGTGCGAAGGAACAGGCGAAGATTGTGAGGGCGGTGCCGAAGATGGATAGTCAGCAGGATGTGAAGCATGGGGTGCAGAAGTTCAGGGTGAAGCTGCTGCCTGAAGGGACAAGCATTACTACCACAGACGTCCTCTGCCAGGTTTGGTATAAACTCAAATTATTATCTTGCGAGTTCAACTGGAACCATAAATTTGGCTTTGATTAGTTTCGAGAAGAAAGATCAAATTTTGAATTCACCGAGGCAGTTAAATAAATGTCTTATCCTGTTAAAGTGTAAAGTCCTCATTTTGGTTTGCTTTTCTGCAAGTATATTTTGATTGTTGATTCATTTCTAACTATATTACTCAAGGTTACAGAAAGCTCTAGGCGGCCTAGGTGCGGCCTAGGTGTTCGACCCGATGCCTAGCTCCTAGGCAGGAGCCTGGGCAATTTTCCTATTTTTATTTTTTTAATTACAATAATTAATAGTAAATGCTTATATTATAGAAAGCTTAGGCGTCGGACTGAAGCCTAGGCAGATTTCTTTCATCGTTAAGTGGTAGGGGAGGAGATTTTACTCAAAGTCGGAGGAGTTAGAGGTGTTCATAGTTGGAAGCTGGAAGAGTTTGGAGGGGTTGGAGGACATGAAGACTGCAACGGAATAAATCATGATCAAAGCCTAAAGAATGCAGTCCATGTAAGCAGCCCATGCTTTCCTAGGCGCTCCCAAAAACCACGTGCCAACGTAAGAACCACCTCGGTGCTAGGCGCTAAGCAGCCGGCCTAGGTACCGCCTAGGCCTAGGAGGACGCCTAGGCATAGGCGGGCTAGGCGGAGGCTTTTTAAAACATTGATATTACTTATATGTATGTCTTAATGAAACATGTGACCTATCTTTCCCTTGATTATCCCTATAAATACCTAAACTTTCTTAATTACTTTCACATTGGATTTAAATTTTGAACTTTTCAATATTGATCATGGCACCAAATTACCATCTGCTAAATCACTTTTCATGCTTCCTCAACTTGCTAATACTTTTACAGATACCCAGGAACTCAATCATAAACCTACAAACATTCAGTACCTCATACAACGAACAGTCCTGATTTGGGAACTGGTTGCAAACCACCAAGCAGTGCTCCACGTGTCTGTGAAGTGGTATTCCATATGTACGCACATCATGCGTGTGCATGTGGGTAACTAATATGGATGAAATAGAATTTCAAAGTACTCACGTTACTAGATTTTAACTGGTGACACTTAGAAGGGCAAAACTTTGCTGACTATTGAATATTGGCATAGACTGTAAAATACAACTGAAGTGGAGGATGATGCAATAATTTCACAATGCAAACAACTTGATTGATTAGTTCTCACTTGGAGTTTTGTTGTATGCACTCCATATGGTTTATGAATCAGTCTTCTCTCTTTCTTGCCAAGTGCCAACTTCTCCAACAACTTATTGCTTCATCCAGCAGCCAGATTACCCTTATAATTTCCTTTAACTTAAAGCTGTTGCTCTTTCTCCCTCCCTACTAACCCATATCCAGATGCTATTCTTATGGATTCCAAAATGATATCATGCTAGGTTCTAGGGCTTTTAAGTGACAATTCTGTAGGTAGATATAGATTCAAGAAAACTTTGGGGTCAGTGCAGACTCCAATGATGGGAAACAAGTGGGATTATGCTTTTGATTAGCAGATGTTGAACACGTGGTAGTTTTGGAACTGAGGTTTCGTGACTGGCTTATTTGAATTTCCTTCTCGGTTGAAATTTGATCATTATGGAAGTTCTGTGTTTTCATCTTCAGTGGGAAGGTTGGCCAATGGTTGTGCCTATATTATATCACCATGTGGAGGTGTAATTCCTAGTTCAAATTGTTGTTGGAATGGATACAAACGTACAAGGGAAAACTGGTATTTTCTATCATTTATTTCGTAACTCTAAATATTCTAATTCTTAATTGATATGGCATGGCATTGAGATTCTATATGTTCATGTTATCTTGATGCCAGTTTTATGTTGTGTTTGGATGGAGGGCAGAGGATGGAAGGGGAAGGGAAATATGAATTTAACCTTGTTTGGGAGTTCCATTCGGAGGGTAGAGGAGGGAACTTAGAGAAAATTTGCACTAAAATCTTATCCCCCAAATTGAAGAGTAAAGGAGAGGAAGGCAAGAGAAGTTTAGCCTTCCTTCCCTCCCCTTAGTGATCTCCCAAATAGGCCATTAAGGTTCATTCAACTTTAGCTCGTCCTAAAGATTCTGATAATTTTGTTATAAATGGTTTGAATTTCCTGCAACTGGTACTTGCATTATCAAGAGTTGATTAGTCAAGATGGCTTATTAAGCTGGGTGAAATAGTTTTTGATATAGGCTTAAGTGAAATGTCTGCCATGTTGTACATGGCAATGTACACCTACCAACCAACTAGCCTTTGAGATGTTGCATTGTAAACAAAGCTAAACTTTCTTTAAATCTTGTCCCCCCACCCTTGGTATTACTATGATTTAGGAATATTTATTTTTCCTAGGTGCTTAAATTGATTATAAAATTTGTATCAAATGGAACATTTAAGTACATATTCTATCGAAGCTGTCACTGAATCCATGATGTCGGGGATCAAGTAAGAAAATCTTGATTTTTTAGCAAAGTTAAAAGTCAAAAGTATGTTGGAACTTTGCTGTTCAAAGTTATGAATAACTGAAAACATAGTCTCCGAGTGGCTAGGTTAGAGGAAAAGGCTAAAAAGGTATTTCAGATCAGTTTTGCAACCTGAGGTATATTTAGCCAGAAACATAGCCAATGCGTATACGTAGTCACCCTGATATTGCAAAGGACCTTTCTGTGGCTATATCAAAATTGCATTAATATGAGTTCTGTATGGAGTTATTGTTTTGTCCCTTGGTAGAAAGTTTAGTTATAACATGATGTAGCTTTGGTGACCCTCTGTGGAATTGAATGATCTAGTGATGTATATCTTTGCCATTGGGTACTGAATATGGGATTCTGAAAAAATGTGGATTTGGTGACAGTGCATAGTGCATACTAGAATTCATGAAGATCATCATCATCAAGGTTTAAGTATATACCAATATTGACATGTAACGACTGCATCAGATTTTAAGTATAGTGGTTTGATCCAATTTAGAGTACCAGATACTTAACTGCCACTGCAGGAGGAAATCTTAGATTTAAAGTAACAAAGGTTGATATGATAAAATTATATATGGGAGAAATAAGAATTGAATCATTGAATAAAAATTTTAACTAGATTGACATATTACATATACTGATACTTTGGGTCCAAACTATCGGAACTGAGATTTTAAATCCAGTGAATCATGCTGTAGAAATCCGCTAATAATCTCTGAAATTTAACAAGTTATAGAGGACAGTGGATCATTTTATTCTCAGACATTTCAATAATTGGATCCCTGTTTTGTATGCCATGTTGTCCATGGACAACTTTACAGTTTGCATTTGCAAATACCCAGTCATAGTCAAAATTATTATTGAACAATAAACAAAGACAGTGCCTATTTCCTATTATCCTCATGATCCACTCTCGTTAATTGGAAGAGTACCAGATACTTAACTGCCACTGCAGGAGGAAATCTTAGATTTAAAGTAACAAAGGTTGATATGATAAAATTATATATGGGAGAAATAAGAATTGAATCATTGAATAAAATTTTTAACTAGATTGACATATTACATATACTGATACTTTGGGTCCAAACTATCGGAACTGAGATTTTAAATCCAGTGAATCATGCTGTAGAAATCCGCTAATAATCTCTGAAATTTAACAAGTTATAGAGGACAGTGGATCATTTTATTCTCAGACATTTTAATAATTGGATCCCTGTTTTGTATGCCATGTTGTCCATGGACAACTTTACAGTTTGCATTTGCAAATACCCAGTCATAGTCAAAATTATTATTGAACAATAAACAAAGACAGTGCCTATTTCCTATTATCCTCATGATCCACTCTTGTTAATTGGAAGATATACTTTCAACATCAATAATAGAGCACGATTTAGTTTGGTTTAGAATATCTCAGATACTCAGAATATTAGAAGTACCATTTGCATGGTAGGCATGGGACTCAAAGTCTATAATTGGGCAATATACTATACGCAGTACTTAACTAAAATAGATTCCAAACATGTGCTGGTGAAATTGCCTCTTGTAAAAAT